TCTCCAGGTAAAGGTGTGAATGGGTACCAGTGTGGACATATAATGGATGCCGCTCTTTCCTTGAAGCTGGGAAGAGCTTCCACACATGGAGTCCCAGTCCTCTGGCCATCCAAAGCTTGCATTTTTGGCAAGACAGCACATTCCCCACCAGTGGATCATATTTCTGGAATTCTGGAACAATGAGGAAAACAGCATTTTTGTTTCAAAGGAAGTTTTATGCCATGTTTGTTTAACGGAATTTAGCAAAAGCAAAGTGGGAATGAGGGGCTCTGATTTTATTTTTATGTGAAATGCTTGGGATATGGAGAGCCTGGCATTCATAGCGGGGCCAATCCAAAATACTCAGTTTAGGAAAGGCAATTTATAAACACATGGCAGGGTGAAACACCAAGAAGATTAGGAAGCAATTGTTCCCCAGAAAGGAAAAGTTAAAGAGCTTTCAATTAACTCTGTAAAAGGTTTTCACTTCATTAAGTTCAAGGTGCTAAACTCTCCCCCAGGCTATTGATGGTGTCTCTGGAAGGATCTGTACTGAATGCACAATTCACTGCATTAGTCCTTGCACTGTTTGATAAGTGCTAGGGGATGGTGTCTGAAGAGGTGGTGTCTCAAGAGAAAATGTCTACACTGCAGTTTATTCATTAAAATCAAGTGTGATAATAGTGAGTATCCACCCCAGTTGTAAATTGTCATCTTTTTTTGTTGTTGTTCTGTCACCCAGGCTGGAGTGCAGTGACACAATCATTGTTATCCTTTTTGTTTAGTCAATCATATGTGCAGAGAGATAACAGCAAATTTCATGTTGGTAAAGGATATTCTACATTTCAAGATTTTACATAAAAGGAATAAGATGTCTGAATTGTTAGGGGTAATTGTGCGCTTGCAAAGGTGTATCCGTGTACTTTATATGTTTATGTGTTTGTCTGCCTGCCTGTGATTGTGTCTGTGCATAGTTGTGTGGGCACTCAGTTTCAAATGGAAGATTTGAAAAACTAATTTTTCTGTGGAAAGTAATTAATAATCCCCAAAATGTCCCTGTGACTTTCAATTTCAAATAAAAGCCAGATCACAATCAGTTCTAATATTACCATTCTGTACACACGTGGGAATCTGATGAAAGATCTTATTTCCATGATAAAATGTATGTCTCGGATCAAAACCCAAACAACACAGCTTATCATTTTCAAACTAATTCTGCAACCAAACACTTCTGTCTGATCATGATGCAAAAATTCATATTTAAACCTCCACTAATACCATTTCTAAACATTGGTCATCTTCTAGCAATTTTCTCTAAATAGTACATTTTAATTATACCTAGGAATGCTCATCACAGGCTTGGAAAAGTTACAGTAAAGACATGTGGATTTCCAGGTTAGACAGGGACTGGGTCCAGCTGACCCTCTTCTGCACTTTCTCATAACCCAACCAAAATGAGAAAAGAAAAATAAAGTCAAGGGGAAGTTCAGTTAATACAAACTTTTGAGAAATCTCTGCTTGTTAGATTACAAATGGATCCAGGCTGAAGAACGACACTGGGAACCTTCTTGGCAATTCCACTTTCCAAGACAGGATGTAGTATTTGGAAGGGGAAAGCTGAACACAGAGTAGGTCTTGAAGCAAGCACTGTGTACTTGACTCATTACCCATTTTACTGTTTTGGATCAACATTCTCAGAGGCCCTGGGCAATCTGGCCAAACCAAACAGAGGAGCTGGTATATGGCAAGTTTCCCCCTAATGCAGCAGGGTTCTTCTTTGACACAGTGGACCATGGATTTAGGAATACAGCCAGCCACCAGGACTTCATGAGTACTTGGAGTGGAGGCCAGGTCTAACAGGGAACTGAGTCTGCAAAACTGAACCCTGCGTGGTATAACTTCTTCAACTAATACAGAGCATCTTTAAGTAGCTATTTTGTCTCTTAAAGGCAAAAACCTTTAAAATTTCATAAGCAATGGAAAAAGCACAAATGAAGAAAAACAGATTCAATAGATGGATAAAACAATAGATGCTACTGCCCTAAACAAAATGAAAAGACAAGTGAAACACTGAGAAAAAATATTTGCCACATACTTGGCAGCTGAGGGTTAATTCATCAAGTTTTAAAGAGCATTTGCAAATCAATAAGAAAAAGAACCACCTCAAATAAAAAATGGGTAATAATCCCAAATTATTTTAATGGGTATTCAAAAAAGAAGAGCTATATATGGCCAATAACATATTTTAAAATGTTCAGCCTCACTAAATAGGGAAAAATAATTTAAAATGGGA